ATACTCACCAAGAGCTAGATGATTGTTGGGAAATCAAGGCAAGGAGATTGGCAGGGAGGGGACACGAGACTTGTGATTATATACAACAGGACATTGTGTTTCCGAAGTGCAAAGGTTCGGGTCATGTGATGGGGAATCTTTATGACGAACCATCTTCCATGACCCGACCAGCCCCGCGATTTTCGAATTTCTATACCCCACTTCCGTCGCCGTTTCATCTCGCTGGATCGGCAAGCTGGGAACAGCCCATATCAGCCAGGAAAGCCTCGAGCCTAACTCCGATAGTTCCAAGGACATCATGTCCGTACATGGTGAGTCGCGCGAATGGACGTTAACATTCCGCTCATAATGGCTGTGGTCCGGCTGTCCCGATTCTTCCCGATGCCCGGCCAGGTTCGGGATTTTGCGCAGTCTTGCACAGGCTTCGTGAACCTTGGCTTGCGAGCCAACAGCTGTTGTCGCTGCTCAGCTCGCTGCTCCCACGACATCCACGACTTTAATGTGAGAGTTGGCTGAGCCGCTCCGCTGGACGAGTTGCTCAACTTGGGATTACGGCGAGAAGGCCGAAGCAGTTTCCGAGGTAGATCTCTAGTCAGTGTCGCTTGGTTCAAGTCTTGGTATTCAGGCTTTGAGTTGGTAGTTGGTAACGAAGCAGTCTACTACCAGTATACAGAGCTGCTGCTTAGGGCAAGTCTCGACCTTGATCACATAGAGCAGTTTGTGGAGGTGAGGTTTTCCCTCGACAGCGGTTAAGGTGCGATGTCTAGCAGTACGAGCCACAGAATGAGTCAGAATATAGGAATCATGTCATAGAAACCTTACCAGAAGCGGTCTGGAGCCAGTCACCTTGCGATAAGCCAGCTATTCAGCCGTCGCTTTTGAAAGCCACATCCAGCACCCAGAGCGACAGCAGAAACAATCAATCAAACCAGTCTACTTGCACTCGCCGCAGTTTGACATGTCGATTCGATATTCACCATCTGGACTCGACTCACTACGCTACGGCGGTATCCTCTAGAAGGGAACGCTACATACTACCAGAAGAGTCGCAAGTCGCAGAAGCTGCTGGTGGGAAACCACAAGAAGACCTTCAAGGATGGCGGCGGTAAGTCCAAAGAGCTGTCGAAAGAGCTTTTGGCAGCTCAGAAAACTCGGTCGCAAAGTAGGCTCGGGACTAGCTCGGACTGATCGCGCTCTTACGTTTGGCCGGAGAATGTTGGCTCAATCGCGGGCGGGGAGAGATAGCGGGGAACGGGCCGGAAGAGGGAGCAACGGTAATAAAGTCGACGGAACGTCGCCTGACTGGGACCAAAGATTCTGAAGGGAATTGTTATTCGAATAATCAGCATCGCCTTTCGTTGACACCTTGTCCTCTTCGGCTGTTCCGCTGCGAGCACCCATCTCGAACATGTGAAACAAGGGCATTTATTTCCTATCTGCAACGTCGACGGACAGCACCAATACCGCTTCTCTTGACATCGTTCAATACGTGACAATCTTATGCTCAGCATTCTCGATACCGACTCAAGGCATACCAAAGCCGACAACCGACTTCCTTTGTTTCGAAAGATCCAGTAACGACGACGGTAACTATCACTAGTATCTCACGACAACCATACTACAACCTTGCTCGATATGACAGCGTGTGTGCAAAGCATGCATCTAGACTTTGGCCGTGAGGCCATGGCCTCGAAACATCACGCGACGTACAACAGCCCCTGGAAGGGGACAAGAAAGGGAAACGTCGTGCTGGAGGACGAGCTGGATATTCGGTTCACTTTTAATATATGGCATCAACCGGCTCTGACAACAGAAACGGCTAACAGCAGCAGTCCGGTACAGCACGTCTCGAAAGCAGCTCCGTTCACCTGGTTACCGCTTCTTCCACTCGAATCAGTACCACGACTACCATCTGCATGGCCTGTCATTCGCACTACCATTCCGCTCTCTCCCGAACAGGTGGAGGATGACTTGGACACGATACCGAGAGCGTCTTCCGGTCGCTCGTCCGTGACAGAAATCGTAGACGAAGAACCGGCGAAGAAGAAACAGAGACTGTCAGCCCCGATCAACGGCGTCCTTGAGTTGGGCGTTCTGGCGAAGGGGAAGAATGAAGTGCAGTCGAGTACGAAAGTTAGGGATGAGCGTCGCCAGGGACTGGCCATGCGTCGGGTGAGGATGCGGGATGTGGATGTTGTCGAGGACTTTCTGGTAAGTTCTGCGGCGCGACATCAGGTTTGGTGATATCCCGCAGCTGACGTAACCATCTTGCAGGACCAATACTTGCCGGAATTTGGGACTGGCGTTCCATTGCGGATACATCTCGGTAGCTCCGGCGTTGCAGCATTAGCCATCCAACGATACCAACCGCACAGCGACTTGAAGGATCCCTCTATCGTCTTTTCTCCGCTTGACCAATCACTACCCATACTCGCGCTCGTGATTTACCGCAAGACACGTTCTGGGTCAGGATCGGTGATCTCCCATATGCAAGCGATTGCCGTACATCCTGGTTCACGCCGTCTTGGACTTGGTGAACAGCTGGTTTCGGAAGCAGTGAAGGATAGTATGCAGGGCGTCGAGCTGTGGGAGAGGACTTGCTTGTCGAAAGTGACGTTGAGGGCGGAAGGGTACGAGGGCAATGGCAGTCGCGAGTTTTGGCAAAGTTGTATATCAGGGTTGAAAGTGTCGTCGAGACGTTTTGGCTGCCGTCGCGGATGGACTGGAGAGGCACAGCTGCCTTGTACGATGTGATATGTACGATGGACTGTATGGGTGATGTTGCATCTCCCTTGAGTAGCAGGTTGTATAATAGAACCAATTGAAGAGTGAACATGAACGAGACTCGAGTCTACACTTAGCGCAAAACGATTCAAAGCGCGATTCGCCGACTATTAGTCATACTCGAAGTATGACGTAGTAGGCTGGACGAGGAGGTCCGGGTATCCGAGCGTATGCGTCGGTATATAACGGAAAGATGTAGGCGTCAAGATCAGCTGAGTCCGCGCCCCCACGATAAAAGCATGCTTTCTATTGTTACTCGACGATCTATTCTCCGTAGTTGCACACCTATCACCGCATTCCGCACTTTTCAAACAACCGCTATCAAAATGGGAAACGACGAGTGAGTAACACGAGACGCAGGGCTGGCAAGTGGATCGCATTAACCTTGCTTTCACGACGATAGATACTCCAAGCAGTCTGTGAACGAGAATGTTCCTTTGGCGGACAAGGTCGCTGAAGTTCAGGCTATCATGAAGAAGGTCGGAACCTCGATGTTGACTACCGTTGGCACAGACGGAAAGAGCTTGGTGAGTGGATCCTCGTTCTATGTCGCAGCCGTTTAGTCCTCTTACCAGCGTCTTTCGTGGTATCGCAGCACTCTCGAGCAATGTACCCCGCCAGCACTGAAAAGCTCCAGCTCGTCTACATCTACGACAACACCTCGCACAAGGACGATGAAATGAAGCATGACCAGGACGTCAACGTCGCTTTCCTCGAACCCGTCGGTGGTGACTGGATCTCTGTTGCCGGCAACGCTATCACGACTACCGACCGATCCGAGGTCGCCAAGTACTACAGCGCGTCGACAAAGGCTTGGTTTGCTGATTTGGGAGATGGAGTTCATGACGGTACCGGTAACGATCCTCGAGTTTCGGTGTTGAAGATCAAGCCCACAGAGGTGAGTCCTTTTGCTTGGTATCGCCAGGGTTTGTCGTGGCATATACTGATATCGCTTCCGTAGATCCGATACTACGCTCGAAAGGAGACCTTGTTGACGCAAGCCGCTGAAGTCGCCGCCAAGGCCTTTGGTACCGGAGGCATGGCCACCCCAGGCGCTATCCGAACCATCACAGGCAAGGAGGTAAGTGTGTTTGAAAAGCTTTGTTCGGGTTTGGCTCTCGCTAATTGCCACCCTCTTAACTTGCATTCTAGGTCGAGTCTTTGTAAAAGAATTTCCCCCTTGAAGGCGCAAACGTTGTATCAACTAGGAGCATTAATGACATAAAGACAATTGGCCATTGTGAAAGCTGTTTAGACGATCCACGAAGTGGTAGTTCGGGAAATGCATTCGTAGCAAGATCCTGACCTTTGGGAAGACCACTTGTGGCAGTCGTTCAGGTTGCGTGTCCACGTGTCCGGGCTGCAAAAAAAGACCTGTCCATTGGGGAAGTCCAAGTGGTGGCGAAGACAGCTACGAAGACACCGGGACTGATCCTTTGCAAGTGCACGATGTCGGAGCGGAGAGAAGGATAACGACAATGCTCGCACTGTCCTGATTATAGGTAGTATGGTGCATTGGGGGTTGGCGGCTTTCGAGCAGAAGAGCCTGCTCAGCTGCCTGCTTGTCGAGAATGACAATACGGGTCTAGGGGAAGGAACAGTAGAGAATCAACTTAGTCGCAACAGATGGAGAAGGCGCGTGCGAGTACGCAGAGAGGAACTGATCAGCTATCATCTCATCGTTGTACAATGGCCTTTCTTCAAGCCACTATTGTTTTTCTCTTATCCATAGTTGTATGGATAGTGCCAACGTCCTCGCCCAGTCCTAGTTCACGAGTCCACGCTGGACAACGGTTCTTAACAGCATAATAGTGGCTTCTCTATTGTTCCCCTAGACCTATATTGTCATTCATGACACTGGTCTTCTGCTCTTCATGCCAGCGAAAAGATGTCTGCTACCGACTCTGACACTAGGGTCATATTAACATATTCGCGATTGTCTTTCTCTGCAGCGAGGAGTAACCACCGAAAGCCTTACGGGGGACGTAAACGTGTGATTTCACCGGCTAATTGACCCACTGCATGTCCTGCAGTCGTCGTGAGTGACAAGCAGTCTGAAGGAGGTCAACAGAAGCGAGCGATGCAGCCGCAATGGGTAGAATCCGAAGGGACCCCAGGATTGTAACGGGAGGCTGTGGAATATCGCCTGCCACATAGTTTAGCGGTTAGCACCTTTGGTTTTGAGCTCTTCAAGCTTCAACGTTCAAATAAAAAGTATGCCGCACCGAGATTCGAACTCGGGTTATTTGGAACTGATTTACAGTCAAAACCAAAGGTGCTAACCGCTACACTATGCCGCATTCGATAATGAACGGTCTTTGCAACAAATCAGTACGTATAAAGCAGGCTCGGTATTTTGTGCCTAATGGATTGTTCAGTGAATCGCTCAGTGTTCTTTTGCGTGCTCTGTCCATACTTTTTAGCTTTAGGCCAACCACCTCGGACCTGTTGTGGGTTGTCTACGTATCCCTGTCAGCAGAGGTTCTGCCTGAGGAAGGTATTGCGTTGCATGTTTGCATCTCGATCGAACGTGCTCACCGACCTTGCTGGTAGCTTGCAATTTACAATTTCATTTAGCAGACCGTTGCCAATATGATGGGAGCGGACAAGCAATTCTTGGACGACCTCGAGCGCGACTGACATGAGATGGTGAGGGTAGTGGCGCGAACCAACACGGGCCTCTTTGTCCCGTAAATCGCAAGCCATCCTGGCAGGGCAAGACGAACAAGCACCTTCTTGACGAGAAATGTTGTCGGCGACGTGAGTAGTCGCAATTCCCTGACATTCGTGCTCATGGTTCCAGTAGAGCGGATGACGATGTGCCGTTGCTGCACAATCATGTTGGGTATTTCCGGGCGGCCCCCTCTCCCTCCGGAACCAGTTTCTATTACAGCGAGCGTTGAACACGGTTGAACCTCCTACATATGCAATTAATCAGGAGTGATGCAGTATCTATCATACAATCCAGTCGAACGGCAGCTCTATGGCGTGTTGACCCTCGCTTTCAGACTACTGTCGACATTCCTCAACATGCCTTCTACGTTACCAGCAAATCCGGCCTGTTGCCCTGCCTTAACATTCGCACCGCCCTGGACCTGCATCGGGGACTGCCTCGCGGCTCTGTACGCCCTCGCTAACGCACTGGGACGCCTCATAGTTCCTGCAAGTCCCAACATGGTCGTCAAGAGCAGTACACTACCCGCTTGATGCGCCGCCGCGAGGGGCACGGGAACGAGGTAGAGTAAAGTGGTGACACCCATGGTCACTTGCAAGATGGCTGCCGCTGCTGCCGTTTTCGCCCAGGTGAGTGTTGTTGGTGGCAAGCAGCGCCGAAAGGCTGGACGGGTAGCGAGGAGCGGTAGGGAAAGGACTGCGGTAAACCTGGTGATTGCCTGCGCACGCGCCCGAGTGTGCAGGTGTCTTCCCCGCGTTCAAGGTACAACAAAGATATAACCCCTTCCCACCCAATCTCAGTCCAGCTAGGCTTCCGATCGCCACGATAGCCTGTACCGGCCCACCACGGCGGTAAGCAGGTAAGGGACATGTTTGAGACCGTTCTTATTCATCCATTGCTTATACCACGCAAGGCAGCTTCATTTCAAAACGCATGATGCAAGCACAAGCGGCAGACGGCAGCCACCGCGTCCCATACCGCGCTTTCTTCGCTTTGACGTTCCAGGCGTTCCAGATGTCTTGTAGTATGAAGACATCAGCCATCATGTATTACATCGCGTACAACAACACCAAGGAGGCTCCCATGTTTGAGGTTTCCATTACTTACTCTCAAAGGCGCTCCGATAGACTTGGCTGCTACGGCTTACATTGTCTCCGCTCAAGCTGTGAAGCCCAAATCTGACTCGGCTGGTGAAGCTCAGATTACATGACTTGTCACCGAATTCGCAGGCGATTAGCTTTGCGGTGCACCATCGATCCCTCGAAGACGGGAAGAAAAGGCAGCTTCGCGATGCCAGATAACGCCGTAGAGACGTAATTCAAAAATCAATCCGGATATCTACATCAATGTTAAATCCTGGAGGAGCCATACATGCTAACAGAAGCGATTCAAGTCTACACCAGATCCCAATCATCTGCATCCAAGTCCCCTCCAGTCTGATCGCCTCCCTTTACATGATCGCGTTGACGCATCTTTGCCTCACGGCCCTTGGACCCCATTGCCTCATATGGATTCTTAGCGAAAACGGCAGTTACTGCTGTATGGAAGGCCACAAAGTTCAAAGGCATGTCAATGGATCGGAGCGACCCTAACGCGGAAGGACCATGTGAAAGGCTATCGACGGAGGGCGCGTCATCAGCACCTGTTTACAATTCTATGTTGAAAATTCAGAAGTAAAGGAAAATGGTGAACTCACCTTCCAAGTCCCGGTGACCACCTTAGATCGTCCAACAGGCGCAAAGGATTCACCAGTAGGCTGTGAATCGCCTTGCCAAGACTCGAAGTATCAGCACTATCTCCGGTCTCGTCCAGTATTTCCTTGACCCAAAGAACGCCTTGCGACTGTGCGATATACAGGACGTCCATCATCAGCATGGCATATGCCAGATTCAAATGGTCCTCCTTTTCCTTATGTTTATCCCGCACGGCAGGTACAGCTTCTCCACCCTGTCTCTGCGGATCGACACTAGGCCGGTGGTCCCCTTGCACCCTGAGCTGAGCCTCTCGCTTCCATTGCCGCTTCTTCCATTTGTCTCTGCTTGAACTGACGTTCAGGAGGGGACGCTTCTGAAGGAACGGGTGTGGATTGGGCAGGGTGTCGGATCCCTGCTCCGCTGATATGACGTCCGTTGGCAGTCTCAAGTAGGGAGCAGTAACGGTGGCTGTAATGAAGATCTTGCCAATGTGAGGTGTACGGACTTGTTGCCTTGGAACATTGTGGTGCGTTTCGGATGACTCCGCCATCACCGTAGTCTCTTTGTGAGACTGACTGGCGAATGTGGTGCTACCTGATGTATCCGGATGCGGTGTTCCTCGAGGCACCGCTCTTCCGAACGCGTTCAGCGCGGAGGAAGCATATTGCAGACCGCTGCCCTTCCAGTCCATGACGTACTGATCCAGGCTGGCAAAATCGGCCATGGATCCTGATGGGGTGTCATCAGCAGCAGAGACATCCATGTTCGTTGAGTTGGCGGAACCCTGCCACTGCGGTGTAAATGGCAAGACGAGGTCGAGGTATCCGGTGATAGTCCATAAGAGATGAATCATATGGTCGAACACGGCGTTCAGATGTATTGAGGGGTAATCTGGATCGTCGAGCAAGGAACGCTGGTCAGTTTTCAGTCCAAAGGCCAGGATACGTGCAACAAAGGAGATACCTGTAAACATCTCTGGAGACGGCATCTGCAGCCCGGCTATCTCCCATTCCTCTTCCGCTTGAGTACCCCTATTATCCGATACTTTTGCTCTTCGCCTTCCGGTCGTAGACAAGCCCGAATCCATTGAATCTGTACGCTGTATGCCAAAGATCGTGATCGCTTCGCTCACTAGGACTCGACGGGCGTGGACGAGCTGCGAGTAAACCTGGGAATTTGCGCGAGCGGTTTCCGAGAGATTGTGCTTGACTACGTCGAGGTCTGATGTGAGAGCAGGGATGCACTTGTTCTCGGGCTGATCTCTGCTGGTTCTCAACCACTCCAGTACTTGAAGAGTTGTTGTATCGGGCGGAGGTTGACAGACGCGTTTCAGTCTTGCTCGTCGTTGCTCCACCTCTGCTTTCCTGCCCCTAACGTCCACGCGCTTTTCGGAACTTGTCGCTTTCAGCCTTGCCACCTCGCGATCCAGAGCCAAGTTCTGCGATTTTAGCTGGGAGATTTTAGCTGAAAGGTCACGGTGTTCATCCAGACCAGAGGTCGAGCCAGGCGTCGATTGCTTATGCGATCTCCTGACAGCCTCTGCGTGTTTGAAGCCAGGCGTGTCTGGCAAGGACGAAAGAAGGGAGCTTGAGATCGACGGTTCCTTGCCGTTTCCGATGTTCGGGTGTCCCGCACCGTAAAGAATGACCTGGGACCGAGTTTTAGACGCTTTGAGCTGTGTGTGAAGGATCTGATTCGCCTCTGTGTGTTTCTTGAGCCTGAGGTCACCGGATTACCATATCAGCGGAACATTGGCAGACACTCGACGATGATACAACCACTCACCCCTCTTTCAGACATCTTGCACAGAACAGATCCTTCTTGGTATCGCCACAGCCGCCACAGTTCATCTTGATTTCACTTGTGTTCGTGCTGCTTCCTGATATGGTTCCTGCAGGAGGTCACGGCAATCCCAGCGTTTCGGTGGGACCATAGAGAGAGGCTCAGCTAGAGACACGGTGTTCAGATGATTCGTGCGCTGTAGCTACATCCACAATGATCTCTTTTGAACCTCACCAAATATGCAGCAAGGCTTGTCACACAACTCGGACCTCTCTAAAGGAAGGAGGAGGATGGAGGATGACTCGTCAGCGGGGCCCGGCTGCACACGATACTACTGTACCGGGGCGCACCTCACTCTTTCGCGGGAAACGTGGTGCTGCCGTTGCTGCTCAACTCGAAAGGGCACTCACTATCTAATCGGGATACCACCTATTCGATTTCGCAACTCTGTCCCACACGCTTACCAAGTAAAGTGCGCAGTACAGCGAGGGATGCAACAATAAAACGTCAATCAGTACCAAGGTCTGACCGACGCAACACGATTTGCGACGATCCTTCACTCGATCACAGCAGTGCGGCGCAGTCACCTTGACCTCTCTTAGACCTTTCCGGCCTCAGGAATAACTCAGACACTGAAAGGGCTATATCCATCACAATCACCAGGAGCCAGTCTATCCCTCTCGAAACACTAAACACACTTATATCATCCGCCAACCAGGCTGTTCTCCCGTACTTTGCGCATACAACACGCGGAATCAATAGCCAGCTATCATACCTATCCGACAATTCTCATTACTCGGTTCCTATGGCTCCCCTTTTACACGCCTCTACTACGACTCCAGCCAAAGCGCAGCACTATAATTCAGCACTCTCCGCTGCGCTACTGGCTGGACCGTGGGGAGATAACACACTTGTCAAGGCTCCCAACGGAACTGCGCTTGATTGGTCAGAGTCTATCAGGAAATGGAGTAAACATACGGGTGGACGTGAGTTGATACCGTTGTTTGGTTGCGATTTCAAAAAAGTCCCGGCTCTCCTGTTGTGGATTGCTGACCTTTCTTGCTCTCCGTTTCATCCTTGCAGCGCCTCAACTCATACATCTTTTAAGATCAGTTTCATTAGCTTATCTACCGTTAGGCGCAAGCTCTCC